AAAAAAAAAAAAAAAAAAAGCAGGTTCTGGCAGTTGAGTTGTCCGGTGTTAAGCCCACGCCACTCTGGGAACCACTTTAGGGTTGGTTCTTTTTCACTGCTGTAGAAGGAGAAGCTGAAGCCATCTTTCTAAAAGCCTAACTGAGAATGAAAGATCATTGCTGCTCTGAAAATAAAAGCCTATCGTTTCCTATTAACTGAAACATACGTTTTGGTTGCTAGAATCATGATTTGTATTGAGGGACTATTTCAAATGTTGAGCTCTAAATATTTTCAATTGGTATAGTCCTAGATACTAATGTAGTAAAATTGTCACTGCTATGGAGTGCAGAGAAAGAAAAACTTTTACATTAATGCAGATTCCTCCAGTTTCTGTGACTGATACTACTGAGCTTATAATGGTATGCATAGATTAATTTTTCTTTTGACTGGAAAATAACAACTTACTGACCGAATTTACAGCTTACTAACTAAACTTGAAGTACAATACTCTAAATTGCTTGCTCAATATTCTTGATTTTTAAGGGTATTTGGTTTAACATATTAAGCCCCAAAACAAAACTGAACAGGATTATCAAAAGTAGTTCATCTATTTTTGAGTTTTATCAGGACTAAATATTGAAGTAGAAACAAAGCTAGCAAAAGAGGTGAATGATAGTATAAAATGTGAAATCAGCCTTACCCACTGCACCCGATGACTTTGTTGTACAGATAGGACGGCAAGCCTTTCAGATGAATGTTGTTATCCACATACACATATTGTAGTTCTCGAGATCGACCTAAATCTGGATTAGAAAGAAAAGTGCTATAATTTCTATAAATGCACACAAATATAATGTGAAACATAAAATTTAATACATAATATTAGAATAATTCAAATTTCTACTCTGGAAGAAAAAAAGTGTTGCAGATTTAACTAGGTGTGAAATTATGTCAGCTGTAATGAGATTCTACATCAGAAAACGTGACTATTGAAAAATTACTCAACCCACCTGAACCTTGAGCATTTAAGCTGTAAAATGAGTACTGGGAATGGAATATTATTAGATTTCCTTCCCACATAAAAATTCTATGACTTTTAATAAACAATTTCTATTTATTTATTAAGTTTGTTATAGGTCGTTTATTTAGTTTCATTTTTCTCCATAGGAAAAAGTGTTACACAAACTAAGTTGGCAGGTCAGCCTACTGTGTCTCACCTCCCCTGGGCAGAAAGATGGGAGGAGGGGTAAAGGAGGGCTAGGGATCAATCTGACCCTGGCTGGGCTGGGCCTCAGGAGCCAGGTGGATCTAGGAATGGATGGAACTGCCCGTTGCTGCAGGGGCAGGAAGAAGCAAAGGGAACCCCAAATCCCAGTCCTCAGGACAAGACCTGCAGGCCAGGAAGCTGGGACAGGAATGGGTTTGTACCAGGAATGGGAAGAGGTGAGAAAGGGAGCCCAAAGAGAAGAATCTGCAATAGGAACAAGTATGCCAGAAAGACGGAGAATCCAGAAGTTTCGCAGAAGTAGCCGGACAAGGGGGGAGCAAAGACTGGAGGAGGATTCAGTGAGGAAACAAAGCACAAAGTACTGAAGGTGATCTCTGGCCATCACAGGCAGCAGAGACACTTCCAAGTGCTGAGGTCATCCCTTCCTGTCTACTGTGTGCCCAAGATTGTTCGACCAGCTTTCCTTTCCACTCCTATCACTCACAGGGAGAGCTATTTGTCTTCATCGTTACAGAGGCACAGAACAGAATCCTCAGTAGCCTTGCCAACCCTCTGCCTCCTGAAGTAAGAACATAATCTTTGAAAAGTTTTCAATCTCTGAAAAGTTTCAAACTATAATTCTGCTTGTGAAAATAGGAAATAGGCTGAAGGAGCTCTTTTTCCCCTGTCCTTCTACAGTTAGGAAAGACAAAGGCCCAGAAAGCTAAATTAGGTGGTTCTTAAGCATATTTACATTTCAAAACAAAACCCATTCACCCATTAAGGACCTTTTAGGCACTATGGTAGGCCTTGGGGATTCATATATGAATATGATATTGAGGACGGACATGAAAAATGATAACTGTAATATAATATGATCACAGCTATTAAGAGGCTTGTATAAAGTCTCTGTTTCACAGATGGGTTCTGGATAATTTATTACATTAAGTGAGAGGGGGATAATATAAGATTGAGGTAAGGAAGGGTTTGCCATGGAAATGGGTAGGAAAAGGTGAACATTACCTCCTCTTTTCCACTACAAGTCCTATCACAGTATTCTTGCCCAGGAATAGCACTGGGGCAAGTTACAAAAAAAGGAACCAAAATTGGCAGCACTGGGAACAGGCAACAAAAGCACTGGGAAGTGGCAACTCTTAGGGAGAAAAAAAAATTACTGGCCTACTAGCTATAGAGATGCCCTTTCCCAGTGTGGTGGTTTTAATATATCTAACAAACAGAATAGGCAGAACTGCTGTGTGATTTTGTGATTTCAGAGTAAGTCACAAAAGGCATTGTGGCTTCCTCTTTGCTCTCTGCCTTGGATCGCTTGTTCAGGAAGACAACTCCTTTGTCATGAGGGCCCTCCAGCAGAGGATATGAGACTGCCAGCCAACAGCCATGTGAGTTACCCATCTTGGAAGCAGCTCCCCCAAGCCCCAGGTCAAGTCTTCAGATTACTACAGCCCCAAGACTATGTAAATATCCTGTTCCTTCTCAAAGTTTTGCCCATTAATTTTAGCATTCATCAATGGGTCTTGTTTGCAACAATTATTACACGGTATTCATTTAGTGGTGATTTTCGATTACCATCTTTCTGTCTACATTTATTAACTGGAATTCTTCTGTAAGGAAGAGCCATCCCTTCTCCCCCATTTATTTATTTGATTTTTATAACAGTATGGATTCATGGATATTTATTTTATTGTAAGGACTAAAAACCCAATACCATTATTGTTCATTGTGGTGGTTAAAATGTTTCGGTTTTGGCAATTAGGAACACTTAAAATTGGTCCTTATGTTTTTCCAACAAGTTTTCATCCTTTTTTGAGTATCACCATACTTTCTGGCACCACAAGACAGTCCCAGCTCAGCTTGTATTTTCCCTGCTATAGCCCTGAAATCAATGACTTCTCCAAGGAGGCTTAATTCCTTTTAATAGGGTATGGTGTTTAGAAACCAAGATCTGAGTGCTAGGTGTGCTCATTACTATGGGAATGACATTGCTTCTAGGATCCCTAAGTAGAAAGATCTACAAAACATATGTAAGTATACTAACCCATGTATACATATACAACTATATTGCTGGAAGTATACCTTCATCAGAGATTCCTAGGAGTGGACTTGTTAGGTCAAAAGGTAAATACATGTGTAGATGCGTAGATTCTTTGGTATTTCCCTCCAGAGGAGTTACACCAATTTGCATTCCCTTCATCAATGTATGAGAGCATTGGTTTTCCCCCAGTTTCACCAAGTTTTAAAACATGTTGTCTTATTTAAAAATTTCTATCATTCTGAATTTGTATTTCTCTAATTATCAGTGTGAACATTTTTCAATGTGCCTGAGGGCCATTTTTACATAGTTTCTCTTTTGTGAATTGTCTGTTCATCTTATGTGTCTGTTCTTTCACTTATTAGCCATGTGATCAGAGCCTCAGTTTGCACATATGTTAAAATGGCATAATAGTGCCTAACCCCTCAACTTTACCAAGTTGTTAAAACTGAATGTGAAAGTAATCTGTAAAATTTAAATCACTATACAGTGTTTTTTTAAGCATAAGAATACATAATTACCACAATAATATGTACTGCTACTTTAGTAAACATGTATAAACTTCTCTACTGGTATAAAAGGCTACAAATTTATAAAACATAGATGGAAAAAATATACATAGAAATATCAGAATCTACTTGCAATGAAAGAGCCTCAAAATTACATTAAAAATTCCTATTTTATAATTTTTCACTACTTCTCTGACTGTATACAAATCCTTTCATCACATATAGAAGTCTGCAGACTTTAAAGGCATATAGAAAAGTTTGGAATTTTTAAAAAATTGAAACTACACTGATAAAATATAAATGAGCTCTGGTCTCAGATATGACTGTCAGAGCCTGCAGGGGTTTCAGGGAAAAGATTCTTTAATTGAGTTTATGCAGTGGTAAGCAGTATAGGATACTAATTAATGGAGCAGGAACACACTCTCAGAGTCAGAGAACTTGGGTCTGAATCTTCATTCTTCTATTTACTAAATGTGTGTCCTTAGTTTCCTCATCTATATAAAGAGAAAAATAATGCTGTCCCTTAATTTTAGTGAAAACTACTAACAAAGTTCATAAATTATCAAGCAGAATTCTTGGCATACAGCCTTCTCCAATATATGGCAGTTATTATTATTCTCATTATTAGTGACACATTTGGAAGTGTGGCCTACAGTAGAAGGCCAATTAAGAGAGAATTCTCCTTGGCATGCAGCAAAAGGTACTCTTTTCTATACTTTAACTGCACAGAAAAGAGTTGGAGGCAACAGCCTCTAGAGACAGTAATTCATCTCCCTGAGCCAAGGACACAAAATGGGACATGACAGAGGAAACACCTCTCTCCTCTAATATACACAAAAGAGCTTGTCCAGATTAAATGAGGCTACATGCAAAGATCATAATACAAAGTTAAATAAAATTTGGCACTTGCTACTTCTTATATGGTTTAGTCCTCTTTCCCATCCTAGTTTTACAGGAAAAAAATGAAGAGTTGATGATTTTAAAATGCTATTTGGTTTAGACCTTATCTCAGGTTTTCAATATTCCAAAGATTTCTGCTTATACCTCCTGACCAATTTGTGTGGGGAATATAATTTTTTATATATGCCCATAATGGAATGAACTATTTTCTACTGAAGCTGAAAGAAAACACAAATCAGCTGTGTTCAAATCTATTATACATTAGCCAGTATATTATCACACAGACATGAGTATTTAATACAAACATTTAAACTTTGCAAATAACACAATCTCAGATAGAGTAAGAAAAAGCAGTACTGAAATTACAAGATGTAGTGGGGCTTTGGAATCAGACCTCTGAAACCTGGCTTTCCAATTCAAATGCTCCAAGCCTGTTACTCCTCTGTGAAATGAAGATAATAATACCTATGTCATGAGCTTGTTATAAAGATTCAGCAATGTATATAATGTCAAGCTTGGTCCCTTGCATAAGAGTGGCACTCAATACATCTTAGTCTTTTATCTCTCTCTCCTGAATATAAAGTGAAGATCACAAAACAGAGTGTAGGATTCTAAAGAGAACCAGGGAACCCTTGCTTTAGCTGACACAGCACAGCCTGCTGGCAGGGCTAAGACAACTAAACACCCAGCAAGGTCACAGGCTACACAGGCACGGCTGTGAGAGTGTGCTCTTGCCAAAAAGCCGTCAGCTGGCAAAACTCCAAGCACAAAGGAATGGCATTTTTAATCATAATGAGGCTGAAATACAAGTATTTTCTGCATGAAAAAGCTTTGAGCTATTTCTTCTATTCTTAAAAAAGAAAATCTTCACTCAATAATTAACTTTGGAAGAGACCGTTAATCTACTAGCTAATAAGCTGGTTTGTTTCTTCCTTCTCTTAATTTCAATGGACCAATAGTTTTCAAGAAATATATCATGCAGTAATATTTTTTTAAGTTCCTGTGCAAAAACTGCTCAGTATGTGAACTATGTAAAGCAAGGAAGTTGTCCATCTGCAAAGATGCTAAAGCAACAAAGAACTTTTTCATGTGGCTTTTTAAAGTGGTGTTCTGTGTCTAAAATGTTTCCCTTTTTTT